TTTCGACATTCGGCCGCAAAAGGGGAAACCTGTCCTTGAACTGAGGTGTCAGTGGCGTTTAGTATTATAACCGACCGCTGTAGCCGGACCGGCGCGGCGACGGACCTTGATGATATATTATTTTGGCTAACTGGGCCAGTGTAAACAATACGTACTTTGCAGGACACTGTACGAAGATCACTTCGGGCGAAAATCCGGTGCTCTACATAATAATAGTAATAATAATAATAATAATACGATGACGACGGGCACTACGCCGAGACACTGCACCGGTATTATACCATTATTTATATTGTGTTGTATAATAATAAAAATGTGTGTATATACGTGTATAATACAACAACTACATCATTGCCTGTGCATTGTTTTAAGTCGCCGACGCCCCCGCCGGGTGTAATCCGAAAGATATTGTTTTGCGCAAGTCACATCATCGCTATATAGCTTACGTCCTTGGCCAACGATATAGTCCACATTTTGTTTCTTTTATTTTCTTTTCTGTTTTTTCTTTCTCTGATATATTTACTCTGCGTTTTACCTGCAACAATAATCTGGTACCTTATTATAATGTTATATTATAAACAAGGCTGGCCGTACTGGCGAGTAGGACACCGCCGTCCAGTTTTCGTTCGGCGGAAGATATAGTGAAATTAATTCCACATAAGAAAAATTGAAATCGTGGCGTCTGGGTCAGTATAATATGAGAATTTCAATACCTTTCACCAAATTTTAAGAAGATAATATTTTCGAGATTAAATCGTATGGTTTTTTTTTTTTTTTTGTTAAATATTTTTTAACAAATAATTTACAATAACTAGTACTTACCTAAAAAAACTATAATACATTATACAAAAATAAAAAGTAAATTATTGTAACTTTTTTTTTACCAGACAATATTTTATAAAATTAATGTAACACTATCTTGAAAATATTTTCACTTCATAAATTATTATAGTAATAGCCAATAGGTAGGTATTCAAATTCCATTATTCGCATTGACACTAAAATTTTGATTTTGCATAATAAATTTTTCTGTAAGTACTATTTAATACTTATCAGATATTAAACGAGTACATAAATACAGCTATACTATAGTATCACGTCCCCCTAAGTGTGTGGTAAATTGGTATTTAAACAATTTTTCTCACAACCATTATCACAGGACTATTGTAATAACGTAATTTAATTTTCATCAATACTAAAATGTACATTTTAATATTTCATCACTTTTAAGTAAATTTAATTTTTGTTTTTGGTTAGACTAAAATTTGAAACTTAATGAAATTTTCTTTTTTTTTAGGGAAGTGTTGTACTAAAAATATTCTTTCAAAACCCATCAATAAACTATTTATTTATTTATTATTATTATTATTATTATTATTATTTTTTTTTTTTTTGGATTATGACTTTATTAATATATTCAGATGATGGTTGTTATTAAATTACAATGACGTTTTTCAGTTTCTTCATTCCACATTATTTCTTTTAGTTACCAATTTTTCACTTTTACAAATTGTTTAGTCATACACACGTTTTGCCTCAACCATTTTAAAATATTACGTAGGTTTCATACCATTAAAAAATATTTTATTTAATACAATTAAACTAATAATATTAAATCATATTTAATTCTAAATTTTAAAACACAATTTGAAATAGACCTCGAGACTATATTATTTTAATTTAACTATAAAAATTATTGCATATTAATTAATAGTAATATCTACTTAAATATGTTTGTTGAAATAATACACATCGATATTATATTCAATTTGATTATGCTTAATTGCTTTGTTTTGGTACATTGTGTCAAATTTTAATTGAATACCGTTCGTATAGTAATAACTTGCCAAAAGCGTTAAATATAGTATGGTCATTCAATATCTTAATTAAATCAAATTTCCAGTACAGTCATCGTGTCGGTCTCATTATTATTAATAATGAGGTATAATTTTTAACCGTAATACGTTAGTACATAATAATGTATAATATAAACAATAACCACATGTAAACATTATGAAAGTGTAATTTGCTTTGTGTCAATATATTACATAAACAATGTACTTGCAATTAAATTTAATTGTTAAATAAACAAACTAATTGACAAAATGAGAGTAGGGACTGAGTAGGAAGAGTAATCACGAACCTCACCAACATACTGTAATAAAGATTTCAATTTAAAATAAATTGGTAATTAAGGAAGTATGTGTAAATATACCAACGATATTGATATCATTTCTTTCTAAATTAATAGCTAAGCGAAAATACAAAATATGTATGCATAGATATATTGAAAAGCGTATTGGGTAAAATGTGTACCAATCTGATATACTATATTTATTTCATAAATAATTGAAATATAAAATGAGGATAATTGCTTCTTTGTTTTTAAATTATTGGGCGGGCTACTACAAAAGTTGTATGTAAAAATTATAATTTAAAACAAATTAAACGTCTGTTAAACGATAAATAACAGTTACATAATACTTTTATTACAGATACCAAGTTAAATTATTAAACGAATTTCCATAAGATTTTAACGTGGCGAATGATAAAAGATAGTAACGATCGTAAAATAAATTGCATAATATTATAAAATAAAATAGTAAATGCATGATAAATTAGACAAATAAACAAACGTTCACAACAGATAAAAAAATTATGTAAACGACAAAATTAAAAATGAAGTTGCAATTTAAACAAAAATAGTCAGTGCCAATAGTAAACAAAATAAATAAACGGATTTTTTTAAGTTTCAAAAACAATAGAAATATTATTTTCAAGTGATAAAATGAAGTTATATCATAGTAGTTTAATGATAAAATTATTATATTACCGTATACAATTCTGTTCATAAATATAATGTAAATTATAAAAATATCATGCGTTAAAAACGGATTTACTTTAGATTATTCATATTTTGTAGAATTTGATAAGCAAAGAAACGATTATACAATTTCTAAAAATCCACTAATAATTCAAAAAAATCTAACACCATATTTATGTATATATTTATATATTATATATGTTACGGTAAATGACGAGAAATAATAATTTACGTAATTTACCGGTAAATATCGTTAATACCCATTTTTAATTTATATTAGTAGATTTTTACGTCAATTACTGGGAATTTACGTTAAAAAATTAAACAAATGGTTATTGTTGTATTTATATCATATATTATTAACTACTTATTTTCACATATTAATGATCCATGACATTTTGAATTACTTTTATATCCAAAACCAGCTTAATTTTTGAAAAATAAAGTATTTTATCTACAACTTTTTGTGTATTGATATGAAAAAAAAAATGTCATAATAAAATCAATACATTCATCACTCCACTCAGAATCTAAAAAGTAAAGTTTTGCTAGGCCACTCTGAAACTAAACCAAAACCATATGTACATTAATTTACATTATGTTGTGATTCTAAAATATTTTACTTATTGTTTGAAATTTGTTGACCATAATTATTATGAATTATCTCAAAGATTTTTATAGCAAATAAAGGTGAAATAAATTAATACATAAAATATATCCAGTTCAATGTGTTATAATTTTTATTATTTTAACATTTTCAAAACTGGAATATAACACTGTCTACGATTATTATTTTAATGAAAATCTATAAGTGCATTTGGATTATTGTTGTTTAAACATGTTTGGATCGTGTTTAAATTATACTACTCAATACAACCATAGTATATAGATACAAATTTATGGAATCAGACTACTTTGGGGTTGTGCTTATGACCTGGATGGCTGAGTAACCATTAACCAACATTATAATAATGGGTTTTTAAACCGTATTTAATACCACAAAATATTACTGCAAAATTTAAACTAGTCACTTTTATTAAAAAAAAAATTTCTCCTAACCCGTTTTTAGCCCTGGTACGTGAGATTAAGAAAAAATCTTTTTCAGGCGTAAACTTAAATTACCATTTAATTTTACTTACCGATCAGCGGCCACCAGTACTTCCATTTATAATGTATCTATTTAATAATATAATATTTTAAATAATTCAATTATTAATTTTGTTTTGGTTATTCTCTGGTTTGACATTATAATAATAAATTATTTTCTTAGTAATTATTATGAAAAGTAGATATCGTGCAAAAAATAATGTATTATACGTAATCTGATCAGGTTTTTTTTGCTCTAATTACATATTTTTAATGTTATCGCTTTAACTGTTTTAAGTACATATTGTTTATATTTCAATGTATAATACGATTTAAAATTTCTCTTAAGTAACTGCTTTAAGTATTAAGTATAAGCCTTAAGATAATCTGAGTAATTATGCATTTAATTTGATGTAGGTATTTACGAAGCAATTAAATAAATTGAATTGACCGAGCTTATACTTACCTCATTTTGATAGCTACATACAAACTGTATAATACGTAACTTTACATTTATTATTTTAATTTAAAAAATATTACAAACCAAGAGTACTATAAAATATACTCAACTTTAGTATTTATTTTATTCAAAAAATAATATTATATTTTTCTGTTAATATCATATTTGTAATGGTATTATAATTATCTAATAAATATACTTATATATACTAATAACGTTATATTTTTATTTACAGCAACGCGTGGCTGGGTCAGCTAGTGTATTATATAAATGGTGAAAAATCATTATTTAGTAGACATAATATTATTTTTTGATAACCTAAGATAAGATGCTGATTATTATTACTTTTATTATAAAATATGAATTGCATTGTTACAATTATTTTGGACAAATGCAAGGTTTAATTTTTTCAAATAAAAAATTACTATGTGAGAATGTATCCAATTACGTGTTATAGTATTTTCATAGATATATTTAATGTACCTCCTACTTAAAATAAATACGTATATTTATAAATGACGATTGAAAATATATGGTTTATGGAAAAAAAATAACTAATCAATTTGATAGAATATAATATTTTAATGATAATGGGTGTTTATATTATTACTCTAAATTAATGCATTAAATCAGCCGGAGATCCTGTATTTTGTTAAGTATTTAACACATTTGTCTATACAAATTGAAAAAATGTACATAAAAAAAAAAAAAAAAAAAAAATAAGAAAACATTGTAAAACGTTGCTTTTTCAAAGTACTGTATTTGTTTGATTGTATAGTATTGATTACTCTTATGAAATTTTCACATTAACCAGTCATTACTTCCATGAATTCTGAAAAAAAAGAAAAGTTTATTCTATTACAATTTACTACTTTAAGTAATTAATGCTAGACACTATATGTGCAAGCATTTTCACATCAATTATTCAATTAACTGTCATACATAAAAATATTACACTGTTTAAACTAAAAGGATTGTTTTGAGGATCAGCCCGACTTAGAGTAGACATAATTTCAATATTATATGAATTCTTCCGAAACAGTTGATACCTCGAAGTAAAATGTCCCGGGGAAAAAATTACACATGACACGGGAAAGTTGTAAACACAACTTACCATTAAAAAAAAAATCTAGCACAATTACGAATTTAAGAACCGTTTGCGTAAAACAACTCCAGACTAACAAATTATACAGAAAACTAAACGGAACAAGCTACCAAAAATAAAACAAATTCGTTCGCTGAGGTTTTTTAACTGTTTTGCGCAATCGAATCATTATTATCTTATTATAGGTATGAATGGTATGATCAACTATATAATGATTTATAGGTATATACTTATTATTTCTTTATGGGAGAGATAGTTGAACTGATCTTATTCGAAATGATTTAAATTTTATTTTTACGAGATTAGTGCGTATCTAAGTATAGTTAATGTTTCATTGCGAGGCCCCGGGTGCACTTGTATACAAGCAATTGTAGTCGTCGGGGGGGGGGGGGGGAATTTTTTTCGTATTGAGAGGGGTCGCTTTTAGAAACTAATAATTTACACGTTTGATTGGTGACGGAGCTTGTCAATAAAACGTTACGCCACAGCGCGGCAAAGACCTATACCATTTTTCGCGCAATGAACGTCCGAATCGACGTCGGGTCGATGAAGAATTTTAATAATAGTAATAACGTATTTTATCTTCGTCACATTTGCATTCACTTCACGCCACTTTGTTTATGACAACCATCGTATACGATGGTGTACATCCGTGAGTAGCCTCTGCTGTAACTGCAGTTGCCTCTAACTTTCAATTATTGCTGCTCGACTATCACTGCTGTAATTACTATATCGTTATAATTATAATTATTTATCTACCGACCGCAGTGCATAAGCCGCGTTTTCGTCGCCGACACACGAATTAGTTTTAAAAAACGATAAATTAATCATCGTGCATGCGGACGAACAAACATTATACATACATTGGACCCCACAGGGTCTGCCTTGTTACCGTTGTGATACGATTGAAATGGTCGTGATTAATCGATCGCAATAATAACAACTGTGTATGTATAATGATTATCGGCGTTTCGAAAGCTACAGGAAATCATCGTTGATAAACTATTTTTTTTTTTTTAATAACAACACTGATATCAAGCATTCACCTAAATAATAATAATCATCGTTTCCACTCCACGTCTGACAGGTCCCTAAACCAATGATATGATTACTGTCGATAATAACGCAACGGGGGACGTCATTTGCATACCAACCTTTTCGATCCCTTGAGGCATTAAAAATAATTACGTAATAACGTGTACACATTGGTACTTGAGAGATTTGCGCATCGTCTGTTTACCTGTGCCAAATTATCACATATCAATTGCGCATCAATGTGCTGAACAATAGAATTATATAAAAAATAATTTTCCATTAAAAATTTAATGATTTTCATAAATCACATATAATAAATATGAACAAATAATTAAAAACAAATTGAATTGTAGTCATAATCATATAAATAATGTACATATTTAAATGAACACTTTTGTTGGCACATTATAGTCATAGTTCGTTTACATCAATTCGTGTAAAAATGAATTGAAAATTATAAAATTTCGGACATAAAATAAATATGATGTCACAAGTGTTTTTTCTTTCCGTATAAAAATACTTTTAGAAAATTATTCCAGCTTTTCCACGATTTGAATTAACAAATTTGAATTGACTCGTTCTTACATGTACTCAAAACTCATAAGTTAAAATTACAGTATAATAATATAATGCTCACGCCTCGTATGTCTTCTAAAACCGTACGTCTCGAAAGTGTCTCATGCATTTTACTATGCATTTGAAAATTGGATGTTACTAGAGTAAATTTGGAAATGTACGAATTTTAAGATCAAAGTTAGAAAACAACTAGCATTTTTGGGTATATACCTTTTTTTTTAGTTTTGTTGTTAAATTATATTGATACGTGAATGATGTAAGATCTTTTAAACGGATGATGCGCAAATGATGTTTAACCCAAAAATCGAACGATGCGCAATTGTCCTACATAATAAGTCAAAATTAACAATAGCAATGCGTATATGATAACCAGCGGTTTTTCTTATAGTTAAACCCATTCAAAGCGTTTCGATAATATGTCTTTACGAAATTTCAGCTGTTTTAAATTCATAACTACATTAAAACAAAACAATAATATACCGAGATTCTTATATTTTGTCACACAGTTATGGTGTCCTATATTATTACTAACAGCTATAATATTATATTAAGATTTCGATGTATGATTTATATCATGAGAGAATTTATAATTTAAAAATATCTGTCTATTTAGGATCTATAACAAAGCTTTATTGGATTTATAAATAATAATATACAACTTACCGTCAAAGTCTACGGTACCGGATCCGTCTGCATCAATTTCATCGATCATCTGATCCAGTTCTTCATCCGACATGTTGTTGTCGAGTTCAGACAATATTTCTCTCAGTACTTCAGTTGTTATATATCCATTTCCTGAATGTAAATTAACAATTTTTATTTGACATTGAAATTTTCAATTCCAATAGTTTATAGTAACCCTTCACTATTCCTGTATAGCTAGCAAGTATGTATTTTTATTATTCGCACCTTCTTTGTCGTATAGCCTAAAAGCTTCTCTGAGTTCGGTTTTGATTGCTTCGGAGTCTTCTTCCTCCTCGGTCATAAATCTCGCTGCCAGCGTACAAAAGTCATCAAAGGATAATGTACCAGTTCCTTTAAGGGGAAAACACTATATGTATTATAGTAATAAAATATCTCAAACCCAAGTACAAAATTGAGACACAAATAGTAAAAATAAATAACAATCGACAATTTACACCGATTTCGGCACAGTAAGATATTATTTTTACCACATGCAAGGCCACCTATTGTACTAAATTCGGCCAACAATGGTGACTGTAAAATATACGCAAATTGCTATACTTCGGATGCATTATATTAGAGCACCAAGCGTTATAATATAGGTACTATTAACAAATAATAATATTATGGTTACAATGTACATACTTTGATGGCTATCGTTATAAAAATCAAAATACTTTTTTGTGGTGGCGGTGTAGGAGATAGTTCACTGAATGTGCTAGGTTAATTAATAATATGTATTATCTTTTAATCTTTGTAAAGATTTTTGAAAACTATCCCGAAGAAAAAATTCTCAAAAAACAAATTTATATTCATATAATAGCACTGTGAAAAATCATTTTTTTTTTTTTTTTTAAAGAATAACACCAACGCGTATAGACTAAATTATATTATTTTATACAACATATTGTAATGTATGGTATGATATAATCTTCGTAATGTGGTAATTTATTAAATATAATTTTAAGTAAAATTCCATAAATATGAAAATATTTTTAGTATTGACGAAAAAAATATTGAAAATAGTGTTCACATTAAATGTCTCATATACAGATATTTTTTCCATGGCATATTCATACTGAGAATATTCGTATCGTAGAGCCTGAGAGGTCTTGTTTTATTGTGACACGTGATGACGCGAATATATCTGTTTATGTCGAACATATAAATAATGGTAAGTTTTGTTTGACCCATATTTTAGAAGCTCCAAAGCGTTAGAGTTTAGACGAAAATAACAGATTGACATTTACCTATTATGTTATTGTAAAAATATCATTTACTTTATTTAAAATTAAATACTAATGTGTATAATTTATAAATATTTATATTTTATAGTTTGTAACAAATGATATTATTATTAAAAAAAAAAAAAAAAAAATTTAATAATTATTATAATTAGTTTTTTTGATTGTAAATTTACAAAGTATAATGAAAGAGTAACAATAAACATACATAGTTATTTATTTAAAAAAATTTAGATGAACATTTGAGCTATTTTGTTGAAACGTATAAAATTAGTTAGTATAACAATAAAAGTCATTAGCAAATTAAATTTAAAAAATAAATCTAAAATTATGTTAGTATTAATATTATTTTTTCAAGTATAACGTAAAGTGCATAAGAATTCACATGAAAATATCCCATAACTTGTAATTAAATATTATGCACTTACTGTTTGTAAAATTGCAGTCATTTTAATGTTTATATATATTTTCTAATACAATGTCAAAGTATTACATAGTAATATGATACAGTGGTATAATTAGTAAGTAGAAAAAAAATTTACTTATATCATGACTTAATATATTTGATACGATGGGAATATTTTATGGTATTATGCATTTTTATAACACAATAGTGTTCTATTAAATTCATTTTATCAGCCAGTTACTGTGTTATTTTTTTCTACATAGTTGATTTATATCAATATTTCAGATAAAAGTATTTTGTTTGAATGTGAATTTAAGATTAAAAATATGATATGCAATTTAAAAAAAAATATGAAGTACCAAAATTGAAAAGAAAATGAGTATAGCACGTTTAATGTACCATGCTGTTTACACTTTTTATTTTTAATTAACGGGGTTATGAATTTATATTCATAATATTGAAAAACTACAAAATACGTGGTATAAGAAATCAATGATATGCAAAATAATACGCTAAAAATTAAAAATATAAACTTAACTCATGACTTATAACAAACTGTGATCGGATATGCTATTTGATATGGTACACAAAATACGCGTTTAAAAATATGTTTGTATTTAGTTTTTTTCATTCATAAAATATTAGTTTATTTATATTTGTTGTATATCAGATTAAAAATTTTGTATTTTCTTTAGCGCTCTAGAACCCATTTTTATAATATATTGTTATAATAATAAATTGTCTGTATTGTATGTAACATACAAACTATATTATAACCAGTGGCAAATTTACGGGAGAGGGGGGGTCCCGGGTTCAACCCCTCCCCAGAACAAAAAAAACATGTATCTATACACCAACACGTTGTAGAAGTTTTTAATTAAAATATTATTTATAAATTATAAGAAAATACCTAACCAGTATGTGTATTCGGAGTTTTTAATAAATAAATTATAAAAACATTGTCAACAATCCATAAAAATCATAATAGTGGAGTTCCGGTGTCCAGTGACCGGTGTCGACACGTAGTCGACCGGGCGGAAATTTGTTGCGGCGGCACGGTAACGGCACGGCAAAAAGGCCATGGTATTGAACGTGTTAAATCAATATTTTATTACGGGTTTTCTGATAATTGAGCGATATAGACATACAGTCTGTATAACTTTCTAAGATAGTTGAGTTATTTTGGTGTGGAGTATCTATAATCTTTTTAATTTAGGGAAGACTAGACAGGTTAGCTATGTTATCCATAAATTCTTAAGATAAAATTACACCAACAGAAATAATTAAAGAACTTGTAAAAAAGAAAACACGTTTACCTTTTTTAATATAAAATTGAAAATGGAAAAATAATATATACTAAAAAATGACATTATAATTAATTTTTTTATTTGACAAATTATTGTACTGATAATCCTAAACTAAAAATTAATTTTACTAAAATTGTGACAATTTTTTTTTCAGTTATAAAATAATAATGTTTGTATTTATTTTATCTCTTTATTCCTTGTTTAAAATAAATAGGGCTGGAATTTTAACGCCCTAAAACATCTCAAAAAATGCCCCGAAAAAAATGCAAAATTGACTTAAAGAACTTAATAAATGCACTATAAAAATGTATTTAAATATATTCATTATAGCTTAAAAATTGGAAAAAAATTTAAAAATAATACAACAGAAGTGTATTTTTAATTTTTAATAGTATTGTACGTTGTTAATAGTCTTCTGTTATTTCTTTATCATTAGTGGTAAGGTAGGTATATCTATGATAAAATATTTGCCATCGACGATAACTTGTCGTGTCATATAATTTATTATTATTTTTAGCGTTGGTAGTTCGTCGGAAGTTCATCTTGTTAATTGTAACAATTTTCATTTATTTTGTGAATAAATTGTGAAAAATATTCTAAAAACTAAGAAAATGCACTAAAATCGTCAAAAAATGCCCTATAAATGCTTTAAGGTTGATTTAATCAAAAAAAGCAAAAAAAAAAAATTACTTTAATATAATTATCACCCAAAACACATTTTATACTTATGAACTAACGTTTCGAAACATCAGAAAAAAAAAACGCCCTTGCATTAAAATTCTAGCTCTATAAATAAACTTTATCATATAATTTTTTTTAAATCTTGCCCCCCCCCCCCCCCCTTCCAAGAAATTATTGAAAATACGCCACTGATTTTAATTATAAAGATTTATATATGGTTGAATTTAAAAAAAAGATTAGACTACATAGATAGTCTCTTCACTGTTAATATTTAACACTTAAATATATTATTTAATTAATATATTAATGAAATAAAAATTTGAAATTCGTGTTTTAGAGTTATTAAATACAATGTTTGCCACGCTTTCATGACACCAATCAATTAATAAAGTTTTTAAATTTTAAATTAATCCAAAACACGATACTCGTTTGAATGTTTTATTTAAATATTATACACATATTATAGTGAGTAATCTGATTGTAGGCCAATTAAAGAACATGATATTTATAAATAAATAACGATACATATCACAATATTATTTAAATTATTAATCTATAGTATAGATCTTGTTATTTTTAATTGTTTAATTTAGGTTGACATTATTTCTTATTTTGTGATAAATTGCTTAAATACAAACTCTCTGTAAACTACGTCCTATTAATAAATCTAAATATTTTTCTATTATAAGTCTTGCTTCATAAATTTAGACTACATAATATAATATTATACAGAAGCCTAAACCTTCATACATTGCCCAGTCGGCCTTCCTTTCAAATACAACGATTTCATCATGAACTAGCCATAGTTAGTAATAATAATAATATCTATAACATATAGTAATTTTTAAATGGCTTATCTTTTTCGACAAGCAAATTTTCTCTGTAAAACAAAAACGAAAATCTTAGCATTAATTCCAAAGCATTTTATATAGATTTGGGTTTTATACATGCTATAACATGTGTCACTACTCACTATTTAATTAGTTTGTGTGAATATTTTAAATCGTGTCTTATATACGCGTATTATATGAACGAAATAATAGACAAAACAATATTATGAGCAGATTAAGAAGCAAAACGGGTTGTATTATAGAATTAAAAATAAACAAAATACTTCTTTTAAAGATAACTTAAGCAATATTATTATATGAAATAATTTACTACACAATTTAAATTAAATGCAACAGACACATTAACGGGCGAACTAATTCATCTAAACTGAAGATAAATAAAAGCATAATACATGAATGGAAAAATCTTGAATTAAAAATAATAATACATTATAAAATAAATTAAAAATTTAACGTATCGTACAATCAAACACGTTATTTTGAGAAACTGCCATTTATATACAGTTTATCTTGTTAAGTTAAAAACTAAACCTATAAAACAATCATAATACGATATATTATACTTAAAAAACAAACATTGCTAATTGTTCACATTTCGAGTATTGAAAAGAATAATATGATAGTAAAAAATTTGTGAAAAACATAGCTTATAACTTATGAAGTCAAAGTTGTAGTGTTTGATCTATAAACAAAAATAAAATCATATGCATAAAGCGATGATAATATATGTAGCTTAAATTTGTGGACCGAAATTATATAATATGGGCAGGAAAATGACTAAGTAAAGTTACATCGTTGTTGAAGATACTGAATGATATTAATTAATTTACTTTTCCGTATAGTTTGTGAAGAACCAACTTTAATAAATTAAAACTTTAATATACATTTAAACATTTTAAAAAAACCATTTAAAGAAGATACTCATTGATTTTTGTATATTTTTCCGTATGTACAATATATTACAACATTTAAAACAAAACTCCCATTAACTGAACAACGAAATAATTTTAATTGATTTTATAAAAATCACGTGTCTTAAAAATTAGTTTAATTTTAAATTTTGGAAATGATTATAATAATTGTATTGTGTATAATATGTGTATTATAAAATAAAATAAAATGTTTATATTAAGCAAAATTATTTACTATATTGTATTATTTTTTAAGTTGTAAGCGTTTATAATTAATTAAATATAACTTAAATTTACATTTTTATCGTTAAAATAGTACTACTTTCGTATTACTTTTATTTTCTATGTTTTGAATTAAATAAGAAATGTACATTTTAATACAAGAACCATTTTGATATAATATGTAATAATATTGAATTTCCTGTTTTTATTATAGGTATTTTTAAAGTACATATTTCATAAATCGATTACCATATAAATATATTGGTGAGAGAGCGTATTATATTGTTATTATAGTACTTTTTTTTTTTATCTAGGTACCTTAAAAACTACTATTTGAACTCGACTAAATTATTTGTTATTGTAGAAATTAAGATACGCCTAATAAATGCGTTAGAAATGTACCTAAATAAAAATATGATATTCATAAATTGTACATTATTTAAATTTTTTGTTCATTATGATATACTTGAAATTCATAAGAAAAAAACTTTAACAACTAAGTACCTACCATACTTGTGATCTACTTTAATATTAAATGTTAAATGTAGTATTGTATATTATTTATACAGTAGTAAGGTAAGAGCGAAAAAAAGAACATGACTATTATACAAGTCAACTGTTTTATTTCATAAAAAAAAACTAAATCCTAAGGTTTTGTTTGTGCCTACATTGTTTGAAATTCGCTACAAAACACTTTCTATCGATAGCGCTTTATAATTCTCGACCGTTTTCGAAACAATAGGACACACAAGTATTAATTAATTTATGAAATTTTTTATACGTGTATATATTTTATTGAGCAACACGTAAAGTAAAACTAAATATTTATTATTTGCATGTAGGCGTGCATACTTATACCCAAAGCAATATCATATAAAGGATAAGATGTATTAAAAATTTTCATCGGATTAACCAAATTATTATTTCAGACGTTGAATAGGTACGTCATATACGCACTTCCCACTAGAAATTATATTCATATAAATAGTACGCAAATAGAGTGCTCATTTAGGGTCATCGGTTCAATCACGAAGAACGTTAAAGGATTATAGTAATCTGTACATTGGACTGGATGCGTTGTATAATTATCGATGTAGGTATAATAATTTATTAGTTGGTATCGTACGCGTTGAATAAATTATAAAGTGGTATTTATAAAAAAATATATCAAAATTACTTAAATAATTCGTATTATATAGTTGTTCATGCGTAAATTAAATAAACGATTACTACTTGTTTATAAGTTGTATGATAAGCAGGTGGTAAATTTATATACATAATAAAGTTTATTTTATAAAAAAGAAACATTGAAAACTTGAACTTTCAAATAGTTAAATACTAAATAACCATGTACATTTATTAAGTAATATACTGTTTATCATACAGTACATTGCATCACAATTATTTGTATATTGATTTTTTTTTTTATACAGGCATTAATAAAAAGTAAAAAAATGTGGGCGCCAATCGAGTGGGCGAATCATCGATTTCATCAGGTGATAAAAATAAATAGAAAAATGTATGCTTCATTATTATGCTATATTGTTTTATGTTTACCGTAAACCAGTACTAAAAACAATACTGAAATATTTAATCTTAAATGATTATAGTTATTCATTTAAATAATAACGCTTTTAAGTGGCAACGTTGGTTAAATTGTTCTGTTCAGTATGTATATAAAAGATTGTCCAAAAACAGTTGTGATTAATATGCATTAGGACAGTAAGTTAAGAATCACCTTAATTACATCGATGTTTGAGACCTTTTTTTTATACAATACATTGTATTGTATTAGTGCTTTTAAATAAACATGAAACGTAATTTGTTTCTCAATAACTGTTTTGGATTATGATTATGAAATTAGTACACTCGATAGGAAATACACTTAATAATAGTAGCGCTTGAAGTGCATTAATTTTTCTAGGAAACGGATAAATACCAATTCAAAAGCATATACGTATGGCTATTTTGTACGATTTAGTAGAAAATGTTTAAAAAAAAGTCAAAACAATATCGCATAAAGCTTGTATTATAATTTCAAAGAACCGTTCGATAATAATTTATTTGACTGCGTTTTTTAGTGAAACGTTTAATTTCATATTATTTAACAATTAATTAAAAAATATCAATAAATATGCATAAATTTAAACGCAAATTTGAAAAAAAATTGAAAGAAATTTGAAAAATTATAGCACATACAAATATTTTATCATATTCATATACGGTACTTGTATTTAGCACATTCGTTGGAAGGCCCTTTGCGTGTATTGCGATTATTAGGCTATTATGATATACAATGATCTGAAGGTCTGTATCCTTGCATTATTAGATATATATATAATAAAATATTATGCAACTGATTTAATTGAATAAGATGAAAATTGGTTTTCTTTTACACAATATAATGTATTATAATTAGAACAATGTGCAAAATCAATCACAAACTAATAAATTAGCCGGCGCGCCTCTTAATCTTACCTTGGTGGTCGATTTCGGATACGATGTTCATAACAGTTGCACTGTCGGTAGCATGGCCCAACATATCTAAAATAATATTGATGTTGGCGCACGTAATTTTGCCTTTTTTCTCCGTGTCAAATGTGTCAAATGCCTTTCTTAAAACTTAATACAATAAAACGTTATTAAAATTCCACGATAAGATTAATAAGTCCAGCTTTCGAGATTTAAAGCATTTATTTATTTATTTTTTTTTTTTTATTTTAATATTTGTTGGATTATATACAATATGTTTTTTTTTTTTTTTTTTTTAACATTTATTTGAAAATATACAATCTGTAAGGTTATTTACAATAGGCATATATGCGGTATTTATAATTTTAACGTGAGTTGACATGATTCTAAGGAACTACCCAACAGTAGTACTTTATATACAATATGTAATGGTGTTTAAAATAAACATATGTGCAAAAAAAAAATAATATATAAACTGTAAGACATGGAGACGAGAAGAGAGAAATCACCCAGCAGTAACACTCAGATATGAACACTAAAGCATTTATAATTGTCTAAACAAGAGCTTACAAAAGCGCTTGAATACTGTATTATAAACACTCAAATAAGCATTTAAAAATATTAAAATAAGGAAAAAAAGGAAAAAAAGCTCAACAAAAATAATAAACACAATTTTATTTTTTTCTGTGACACCATTTAACTTTAACATTTAAAAACATAAGAAAAAATGTTATTTTTAGAAATTTAAAATATTTTGCTCTTTTTCAGTATTTATGAATCATTAACTTAATTTTATACTTCTTAGTTCTTATAGATTTTTTAAAAATAAGTTTCAATTTATATAAGAATAACTGCTGAAAATGTTTTTTTATATGTTTCTTACTTTCTTTATTATGTTGAAAATCAAATGTTTTCTTAAGTTAAATAGAAAAATTATTTTTAACTCCTACTTTTACTGCAAATACACAAAAATAAAATCAACAATAACCAATAATTTTAAATTTTCGTAAGTATGGCCCATGTTATAATTAAGCAGAGATATGTAAAAAAACAAAAATTGTCAAAAAAAAAAAACAAGAATAAAATAATTTGTCTAAAAAATCATCAAAAAAGCACTTTCAAATTTCATATTTTGAATCATTGTAATATGATATGAGTTTCCCTAGTGCTCTGCTAGATTTTATGTTAAAGCAAAAAAATAAGCAAATGCTCGAAGTCCCGAACTCTGTTAATATCCATTTTTGTTACCTTTTAATTGATCTTTACTCAACGTTATGCTTTCCGTGTGTTCGATGGGTGGAGGGGGAGGGTCCATCCACGACTATATTATACATAATACACAAAAATTCATTATTATACACATCGACGAGTAACTTTTTTTTCAAGCACAAAATTTTAAATATTATTTTAAAAAGACTTACCATTTTTAATGTTAATATTTGTATTGCTGTCGTAAAAGAAAATAAGAAAATATGTCCGACGACACGTCCAATATTGTTTGAATCTGTATCCGATGAAAGCTTCAAAGTAACAATGATGTGCGAATATCCAATTGTATAATCTAAGACGATTTATTTATAGTATTTCAAAACGTTTAAATTACACGACGCCAATAAAAACTCAATCACTTTAATCGAACGGCGTGACATTTTTAGCACTGATTTCGCGAGTGGGGACATATATATTTATACATCCAATTAGTGCGCCACTTCATTAGTAGGCCAATCAAGAGTATTTTTGTTCAAGAAAAATAATAAGAAATATAATTTACTTGCATGTTATAACTTTCTTGAGAAGCTGTTATTTAATATCAATTATCCCACTCTAATATACCTACTATAGTTTAAATAGGATTATCAGATGTTATTGTGATATTATTATACTATAAAAAAACTAAGCTTAAATAACTTAATGATAATTAATTTATATCAACCAAAATCCTAGGAATATAATTAGGTAGTTTTGATTTTATTATTTTACTACCTACAGTATTAATTTAAACATTATTATATTATATTATACTCATAGGAAAAATATATTATTTTAAAATAGTGTGTATTCAAATTTTTTATTTGGTTTTAATTTTTTTAATTTTGACATAAGCAAACGAAACAATTTGTTAAAATATTAAAAAAATATATACTTATTAAATGTATATTATGTTGGTTAACGATTATTTTATTTTTTAAATTTAAATTTTTATATACTATACAATCTGTTTATTTGTAGCACTTTATTTTAAATAAGAATATGAACTATGAATAAAAATGGCATGAATTTCAGGAAAAAAAAGTAACCCAGCAGCGGTTACACTTTTTTAAATAAATACATACTTAAAATGTAAAATTCAATGAGATTTTGAAATGCAATTTTATGCAATTATTTTAATATACATGCAAAACTTGAACGTATTAAATCGAATAAATTAAATTGCATTTTGTCAATTATCTTGTACAAGTATTTAGAACAAATAATACGTAAGTTTTATCTAACCTTACACCGTTAAAAAAATTAAACTAAAGTTATTACTTAGAAAATTATTTCTGTATTTTTATTCCTGTAACCTACGTAAGTCGTTTAATACTTTAATCTGAACATCTTTTTTTTTTTTTTTTTATCACATACCTAAGGTTTTATTCAAAACATTTTTTTTTAATTAAATCCATTAATTTTTTAGATAACGGACTTTTATAATTAAAATATTTTCGTTTAAATTTTTTGTCAAGAATTTGCAAAGAAATTATTCTTACCAAATTATTATTTTTTGATTTGGTATAATTTAAAATTAATATGTTCAATTAATAAGTACAACAACATAATTTCATATTTTTTACAATAAATAATTTTATACAAGTAATTAATTTCATAATCAGTTATAAAATTAGCAACCACAATTTATATTTTTTATTATTAAATTACATTTTATTATCTAATAAAAAACCACTTACTTTGAATATAATGCACGCTAATTTATTATTATAGTATTAATTATTAATTGTAATTTTTATTGATGGTGTTGATATGAGAGAGAAGTGTTTCTTTTTAGATTGTATTTAGTCACTGAAATCAAATCTTTAACCATATGCTGTATATTATGTATAACTATGTTTATAAGTGATAACTCTGATGATAAATAAATCATTCTTAATATAGTTATTAGGTTGTATATTTATATATCATAAGCTAATATTAAAAAGTAATACTCCATGCCTGTTTATGGTATGATATTTAACATAATAACCTTCTCTTTGCCGTTAAACAAATTGTATTCATGTTTTTATTGTATAGTAATAATTTACAAGACAATTTATTAGCAATATATTATTACATTTTTTAGACTCTAATATTTTAATTTATTTATTATGTATAACATATCACACTGTTATGTTGATTAGCATATATATTTTATATATTAGTTGATTTTTAAAAAAAATAAATAAAACTGGTTATATCAATGTATAATGTATATAGTAATATAATATATATATATATTATAAATTTATTTATTTTATAAATATAAAATATGCGACATATATATATATATATATATACATGTAATAATGTAAATATCATATAATGTGTTAATATCTTCATAAATCCGTATTTTTATGCTAAATCTATTAATAATTTTTGAATACTCGGTTTATACCAAGTATATTAGATTGGATAGCGAAACTACACTTCGTATATTAGCATAATATTATCACTTATTCTAAAAAATTTTTCCCTGTACCAGCCGAGATTACAAAGGTGTAAATAATATTCAGCGTAGCTTAAAATATAAATATAATATTGTATATTCATAGTTATCTGCTAAAAATAAAAACCAGCTAGAACGGTGGCCAAAACATCGTAAATTACAGTACAGGAAATCCTGAAAAACTGTCGGATGCCATTTCTTGTGCTGCAGTGGTTAATTCCCGCTATCGCCTCACGAAAAGGACTGACTTTAAACGTATTTTGTTTTTTTTTTTTTAACTATTGGCATTAACAGATAACCGTAGTCCGTAATGACTTGGGATATTTCCTTTCTACTCATATATATGTTTGCTATCCGATAAATCATCCTGTCTCATCCCCATTACTACAATTATTTATTATATTATCTTAATTATTATCAGTTCAGTTATTTAACGTTTAATATATTTTTCTTAAAAGTTTATAATATGCTAGTGAATATTATGTGGCATATATGTATATATGTATATTGTATATATATATATAAGTTTTTTATCGAATTATTGTGTAAATATATTAGATATTTAATAATAATATATTATTCTTGGGATAAAAAAAAAAATAATAATAATAATAATTTTTAGTAAATATATGTAATACTTATGTACCACTTAAATATATTAAATATACTTGTATCAAAGTAAATATTTCAATTTATATTAAAAATGGCGGAAGTTGTTAAAAAATATAACAGATTTAACATAGTTAATTTAATAAAAAAAACAATAATATTGTATACGTAGTATTATAAAATTAATTCGTAATAAGATTGTATAAACAAGGCTCACGACAGACTCGTCGTTTGTCATTCAGTATAGGTACCCAAAGTTTCGGGCGGTTTTCATTAAACTTGTAATGGTTGCTTGAGTAGGTTTTCTACGAGGGTATGGTAATTTGAAAAGTATCCTCCTCCGATCGCTCGGCTTCTCGTCGTCATCGGATCAAGTTTCACAAACTTTGCCTAGCGTCTCATATATTTTACGTGCACTTATCATACACAAACACAAATACAAGCACAAAGTGCACACGCTTAACTTTTGGAAAACTTTTAATGGTGACCTAATCGAGTTCCAATTGAATGTCTATAATATGTATATACATCGGATATCTATATTATACTATAGTATATACACAATATATTGTGCCTACACGAACTGGAAGAAAAAACTATACAAGCCCGAGGTGGTTAACAATAACTCTCATTCGAAATCGGATAAAACTTTTAATCCAATAAACTTTATTCTTTTAACGGGTGCGTGTACCTTCGTTTTACAGATGACGTTGTTTTAAAACTAAAAATAACAAATTTAGTAGACAATATATAGATGACATACAAGTCGGTTTATATATCGTGTTGGATTAGACGGTTAACGTCTATAATGACTGTTACGTCAATAATGTTAATCTAACTTAAAGATGATCGTAATAAAACGAATTTATTTAGTGCGCGGACATGTGTTGAATTCAAATCACGGTAATTAAAATGAGTGTTTTATGGTGGCGACAGAGCGGAAATATTATCATATGATCGTCCTACTAATTTAATAATTATTGTAGTAATTGGTTTCTCGTTACATGCTAGCTATTTCGAAATGTGTGGAAAACTTGCTTAAATAGTTTGGGAATGTAAACGAACTACTTTTGAAACGAATCGATCGTATCAACTCGTAGCCTGTATTGCCGGAAACTATGTAAGCTTTAACGTGATTTCATTACGGAATTTCCGTTTATTCGTTTCGCGAAAACTTAGGTTATTTATATCAAAATCCAAATTATTGTAAATGTTTGGTAATAATATTTAACAATATAAACTATTGACTACAGCAACAATGTTTGCTTGCAAGGTTTTGTGATTATTGAGTAGTAATCAAGATTATGTTATTGATTAAAGATATAATATAGTATAATATGTATTTATCAATATTAAATATTGAAGTCCAAATCGAGTTTAATTGTTTAGTTTCTATTAACTTTTAATAAATATAGGTGTGAAAAACGATTCGCATTAGGTGTACTGTACTTATATATAATATTTATGTTACAAACAATTTTTTTTTTTTTTTTGTCGAGGGAGAGGTTTAAATAATTTTGAATATAATTTTTATTTCTTTACATAATTGATAATAACTTTTTGTTTTTAATTTTTAAACAACATTCCGGAGGAGGGACTTCAGACCCCATTGACCCCTTCTGAATAAATTAATGTTTTTAAAATTTATTTAATTCTGATCTAATATTTAACATATATTATATAATATGATATTATAAATAATATTATATCACGTCAAATAAACGACTGTATTATTGTCTACATTTATGTATTACTTCATAGCATTAGTTAATTAAAATCAATCATTAAAAAATGCAATCATCAATTTTTTTTTTTTTTAAGCTAGAAAAACATGATAAATTGATAACTGAATTTGTCTTATGATTTTGATGATTTTATCATATACACATTGTAAATCAGAAATTGTTCAGATATTTTATTTAAATTTTTTTTTTCTAGTTTCTAACGGAAACTTTTTTAAAATTTGTCATGTCAACACAAATTATCATGATTTCAATTTAAAACTTAATTAGATATTCATTTTCTACTAAACATTTAATTCTTTTTTTTTTTTATATATTGAACTTAAGTTTCAGCGACTAGGGCCATTAGCTGTTGTGGGGGTTATGAACTGTGGTAGAGGTAAGGTTGGTACGGTAGGTTGTTTTTTTATGATTGTTACGGTTGATAGTAAACACATGTATGTGTGGCAAGGTTTTTAACCACTATGATCCCGGGTGGTCACCCACCCGGGAGCTAATAGCTGTGACCGTTACTTACTCTCA